CCTAACATGTCACTCATTGAGCATGTTTGGGATGCTCTGGATCGGCGTATACGAAAGCGTGTTCCAGTTCCTGCCAATATCCAGCAACAACCCTAACCCTAACATGTCACTCATTGAGCATGTTTGGGATGCTCTGGATCGGCGTATACGAAAGCGTGTTCCAGTTCCTGCCAATATCCAGCAACTTCGCACAGCCATTGAAGAGGAGTGGACCAACATTCCACAGGCCACAATCAACAACCTGATCAACTCTATGCGAAGGAGATGGGTGACATGTTAGGGTTAGGGTTAGGGTTTAACCCTAGGGTTTTCGGACCCCCCCAGACCCCCCCAATAAAGCAAAACTGCACGTTTCAGAGTGGCCTTTTATTGTGGGTAGCCTAAGGCACACCTGTGCAATAATCATGCTGTCTAATCAGCATCTTCATATGCCACACCTGTGAGGTGGGATGGATTATCTCGGCAAAGGAGAAGTGCTCACTATCACAGTTTTTTTCAGATTTGTGAACAACATTTGAGAGAAATGGTTAGTTTTGTGTATGTAGAAAATGTTTTAGATCTTTGAGTTCATCTCATGCAAAATGGGAGCAAAAACAAAAGTGTTGCATTTATATTTTTGTTCAGTGTATATACGCTGGGTTGGCTTGGTGTTGAGACTGTTTTCTATGGGGCACATTGTTGCATTAAGCCTTAAGATTGTCAATGGCAAACGTTTCTCTGGACGGCACTAACTGCGCTGAAGTGTTTCACCTTTGAGAGTAGAGAGAAAAGCAAACAGGAAAATAAAGATAACTTTTAGTTTAGGGGAGCTGCTGATGTTTTCAACATAATATTAATGTGTGGCTTTCAAGTAAAAATATGATTTATTTAGGTTCTTCAGTTTTGATAGGAATCATACTTTCAAGTCAGTTGATGGGTTCAGTTCTTATCTTTTATTTATTTCATTTTGCCTCATAAAACTTCTAAACTGATGTCATTTAATTTAGCTAAAACAAGGCTGTGCTGTTTGTCATGGATTTCAAATAGCTTAATAGGAAAAAAAATGTCATCAATTTCCATCTGATAACAACAAGCATGATTTTGAGGAGTCACAATTTTGTAAGAAACTGTAATGGTATGCAATCATTTATGGCATTAATCATTAATATCTGAGTGAGAGGGCTTGAGTCAATTTCTCTTCAAAATATAATTGATGTGCTTGTAAAATATATTTTTCTGTGCCCAAACATTTTCATTTGCGCGCTCAATAACATTTTCTATGCTCAAAATGTTTAATTGCGTGCTCAGGATAGAGGCACAAAAATAACCCCATAGTTCTGGTGGCTGTTTCCGCCCATGAACAACTGTCAGTGCTTGATCTCATCCTAATGTGTAAAATCTAAAGTGTTTCTATCTTTTCTGAATGTAAGGAACACTTTGTCTCAAAGTATTTTATATGTTCCTGCTTTGTTGTTTGCCTGTTGCTTTCAGATGCCTCATTTCTAGCTTCATCACGGGTGGTTCAGATCCAGTTAGATCTCGGGTGTCCAAACGTTTTACACTGATGGCCACATACAGAAAAACACATGATGGGCTGGGCCCCTCACTAGAGGTGAGGTATATCGCCTCATAAGTGAAGTTATAAGTTAGCTAATGTAGGTCAATTATTCTTGATACTTGAATATGCTATAAGAAAACAAACAGCCTATCACAGTTCTCCAGAGGGTTTCATTTATTTTGTTACAAAAAGCTCATCCCTTAAAGCAGAAGCCTCAGACTGCTTATAATGAGTGGAAATAGGAAGGTATATTTCAAGCTTGTTATGCAAATAGGTTATTGGGCTTTTTGGGGATTTGTTAGAACATGTTTTCAACTTTAACTGAATTTATTTGAACAGTTTGCTTATAAACACATTAATACTACAGTGTAATTATGTCTTTACATTTATATTTAAGAAGTACAATATAAGACAAGCACACGTTTCAGGTGTGGGCCATATTCCATTATACTTTAAGAATTAGCTGAGGGCCATTTCAAAATGGATAACGGGCCGCAGTTGCCCCCCGGCCCGTAGTTTGGAACCCCCTGAGTTAGATGGTCAGACAAGAACTGCATTTGAAGCATACCAAAGCTTGTACAGCATTAATGTGGAATCAACCTAGCATTACTCACTGTCCTGTGGTGGACTTTAACTCACGGAGAACTGAAGTGGCAAAGATGAATCACAGCACTTAACATGTTCAACACGAGCTCTGCATGTCAATAAACATACCTCTTGAAAAGTACAGTTTCTAGTTATATCAAGACAGTGATGTTTCTATTTAACTCCTATTATCAGGGTTTATGGGCTGACACTGTAGATGTGTATTTCTCCCGAAATCTTCATAAACTTTATTTCCGCATGCAGTCTGGTTATGAAACATTACTTACACACTGTACAAATATGTTTGTATATAACATATTTACAACATCATATAGCACACTAATACAATGTTTGTGAGTTTCATAACAGTTGGAGTTGTACAGATTTTAGTAAATAGTTTTTACACAGTAAATATATAATTCAGTCCAAATATGTCACACTGTAGATAATATTAGCCCCATCCTATCGTCATGAGAACATCACCTATATTTTGTCATGCACACTGCAATATACAATTCATTTGTTTAACATTGACACTCTCATTCTCCCTTACATTCTGCAGCATCATCTCTAACACCAGACTCCGTTCCATTCTTTCTTCTTCATGACCTTCTTTCTCTTCTTCACATCTTCCTTTACAGTCTTCCATCCTCTCTGTGTCCTCTTCCGCGGACTGCATGTGAGACCAACCGGACCTGATTTTAGAGAGATGAGAGTTCAGAAAAGGTTTCCCACATAGCAGTTATAAAACCACTGAAACTTCATCGATCAAACACATTTTGAGTGGAGGGGGTTCAGTTACAAGACAATAACCACATCTTTGATATATTGAGGGAGGGATGAAACCCTCTTTAATGGTCACACATGCAGAGCACACAGCACACACAGTGAAATGTGTTCTCTGCTTCTAACCCATCCTAGTACCAGGAGTCTAGTACTAGGAGCAGTGGGCAGCTAGTGTACAGCGCCCGGGGGAGCAATGGGAGTGGGGGGATGTCCGGTGCCTTGCTCAAGGGCACCACAGCAGGGCAGGAGGTGAACTGGGACCTCTCCAAGTACCAGTCCACACTCCATATTTAGGCATTCTGATCAGAAGCCACCTGAACTCTCTTCTTCCATCTCAAATGAGCAGCAGCTTCACCAGTTTCGCATCTAAACTCCTCTAGAGGTTGGTCAGATTCAAGACTTCCTCAATTGTTCTTCCCAACACATGTCAATATCCACGGTCCTTTCTGCTTTCCCATCCTGAGACATGTCACAGTTTGCTAGATCTTCCTTGAGGCCAACCTGAAATCATTTTCTCAGTTCTCATCAATAATCTAGCCGTATACACTGTGATGTGCAGGTACTGGTGAAATGAAACTGCATGAAAGTCAGATATTGTAATAACACAAAAGTCTCTGTTTTTCTTGTCTTAAACAAACTTGTGTGCAGACTCAAACCAAAGCCTGATAGCACTTCTTCCTCTGTGCTTTAGAGAATCATTACAGAAGAAGTCCACACTACCTGGATGTTTATTGTAGCCAAGGGAAATCCAATTGGCTGTGGTGGCCCAGGACAATCATGGAGTTTCTGTTTCTGCCAGCAGGTTCCACTGGGTCCAGGTCCGGCCTGTAATGATGAAGAGACAGATGTCAGTGTGAGCTTCTGGTTCATGTAGCTCTAGTGGAAACATCTCAGCCTGGGAGTATCAAAAACATCCATTGTCCATTATTCCCACAGTCAGAGTGCAGCAGTGTGCAGGCGTGCATGTCTAAGCAGGACCAGGGTTTCTAATGAATGCTGGACTCTATCTCACCGGGCCTCAACTTAAATCCAGGGTGTAATTCTCCCACTGCTCCAGGCATACCTCAGGCCTGATTTTCCAACCCCCCTCTGTCCATCTGGGTGCGTGCCAAGCCCCGGTCAGAACAGTGGGAGAGGCTGAAGACCAACAGCCCCCAACCTACCTTCAGATTCCAGCACTGTAAAACCTCTTAAATAAAGGCAAGCCACAGTTCATCCACAGTAAGACCCCCTCTCCTCCATCAGGCAAAATGAGAGTAATAGCTCCTTTCATTCTGTTTTTCCAGATGTGGTTAAACAAACAGGAGAAAAAAACACAGCTCTCACATGCCCCTTTCACACCAACACGTTTTCAGCTCCGACTCGAAGCTGGAGTCTGAAAAGTACTGGTTTTTCCTGTTCACACCGCAGCGGCGCCGCCTCTTAGCTCCGGAATCCGGTTCACTTCCAGCTCCAAAAAATTGTTTTATTGTTAAAAAATATTGTTGGCTACTTACTTCGTTTCTTGTAGCCCTCGAAAGGGTTTTGGAGGTTGATGCCTCGGTGAACGTGAGTTGTTTGGCTTTCTTGTCCGCAGCAGCAGAAAGCATTTTCGAATGTTTGAATGAATCAAAGTGGGTCGTCACCTTAGATTTTCTCTAAGACTTATGCTCCAACACACAGTTGCACGGGGTGCAGAATAGTTTCCCCCCACTTCTTGCCCGGTCTTTAGCAGAAATATTCGTCGGTAAATGAGATGGATCAGATTTTTTCATCTTGGTGTTTTCTCTCTCGTGTGAGTTCCACACGTTCACTCTACGGTGTTGTTTAGCTTCTGTGATGCGCGAGCTGATGACGTCGCGTCATCATCATCACTACTTCACGTCAAGACGAGTTAACTTTTTTTCTCTCTCAACTTTGTGTGGAAAAATGCGGGGATTATGCGGCCTTTTGATAAATATGCGGCCTTTTAAAAATCTGCGCCATTTTGCTGATTATGCGGTAAATTCTGCGATCGCAGGATCGCGTTTTTCTGGAGGGTCTATATATAGAGCCCCTCCTCCAACACACACAAACGCACACATGACCAATGAGGGCACGAGATAGGTTTGTGCACAGATGGAAGGCTGACAGGCAGGTAGGCCATCCAGTTATTTTAGCAGGGCCGGCTAAAATGATTGGTCGTGCTTTTTACAGTACGACGGCTTCCACAGATGACATTTTTTTAATGGATTTTTTGTCAAAGCACTTTAGATATTCA